CGGCACTTAGACAACTTTAAAATTGTTGTTAATTCTAAAAATATTGCACACAGGTTTACTAAAGGCATAAAAACCTTAACCGGAAGATAAAATCAACATAATACAATCATTTTTAAAGCAAAAAATGTACAATTTACAAACATATAAGGGTAAAGAACCTGAGATCACTGAGCCGGGTAACAGAGTGGATATATATATATAAATATATTTATATACGTTTGGTGCGGCCGATTGCAACCAAAATACGAGGTGCACATCTACATGTTATAGAAGCCCTATATACAAAATTTAAACGTTCTGGGGCTACTCGTTTTTGAGTTATGCGAGATACGTACGTACGCACGTACGTACATACGTTCGTACAGACGCCACGAAAAATTCTCTTCAGAATTAATTTTAAAGCAGTTTTAGAATTTTTTTGAAGGAAAAGAGTATTTTATTCTGTCCTTACGTATAGATATCACGCAAAATCATCATTAAATTGCTTTCGATAGCGGTCAAAATGGATATTTTCGTTGAAATATGCTGCCTGAAACTTTTCGCGATTACAATACTTCCTTTTTACTTCGTACAAGGAAGTAAAAAGACATTTTTGATAAGAATATGATAGAAGAAAATGTGTTTTTACTTACTTCTAAAAAGTCTGCGCTAAAAGAATTTAATGAAAAAATATTGGATTGTTTTAAAGGGGATGAGTCTGAAATTGAGAAAGAATGTAAGACTGTGTTAGAGTATGATGAAAAAATAAGTTTATGTATTTTTAGGGCTAAAAAGAAACTTAATTTAAATTCTCAGATAGAGAGCGTTGAAAGTGAATCGCCTGGGAACCATACTGCTGCCAAGGTCGAAAACAAAACAATTTTAGGTAACATTCGGTTACCTAAAATTTCAATTCCTAAATATTATGGTGATCCTAGTTTATTTTTGGAATTCTATAATTCCTTTGAAAATGCTATTGTTAATAATAATGAGTTAACAAAGGTCGAGAAGTTTACCTATCTTAAATCCTTACTCGCAACCCCTTCTTTAAGTGCATTATCCGAGTTTGCACAATCTAATGAAAATTATGACGCGTCTATAAGTTTAATTAAAGAAAGATTGATTTAGACGAACAGATTTGGTAATATCTTCGAACATGAATAAACTCTTCAGTCTTGAACCGGTTAGAAGTTCGTCCAATGTGAAAGCACTAAGAACACTATACGATTCCTGTGAAATCAATATAAGAAGCTTAAATTCATGAGATATTGTGTCGGAAGCTTACGGAACCCTTTTAGGACCTTTTATTTTAAAGCTTTTGCCAGACGAAATGAATCTGGAGTTTAATAGAAAAAGAAACTCTAAACTGCAATACAGCCTAACAGAACTTCTCGAATTCATTAGATTGGAAGTTGAGAGTCGGGAAGCTTCTAATTTAATAATAAACTCAAAGAAAAGAGACACAAATTACGGTGTTAAGCAGAATAAAAATAATTACTTAAAAGAGGCAAGTGTTCCTACTGCTTCGGCGTTAGCTACAGTGACTAAGCCGTATTGTTTCTATTGTAATCAAAATACACATGATGTAGGAAAATGTGAGAAAACAAATGAGCAAAAAAGAGCGATATTAAAATACCATGGACGTTGTTACAAATGTTTTAAGAGAGGCCATGTATATTCCAGATGTAAAACGAAACTTTAACATTGTGAGTTGTGTAATGGTTTAAATCATAATAAGCTATTTTGTAAAAATATTCTTCCTGAAGTGGAAGCAGTTTCAGATTTTAAACAGAAAGTAGTTACAGTATCAGATTCTAAGCAGAATGTAGTTGCATCCCTGTCGTTTAACTCTAAGACTGTTTCTGAAACTGCTGATAAAGGTGTATATTTACAAACTTGCACTGTTTACGCTTCAGATACAGATAATACTAGAAAACAAATAGTAAAAATCTTAATTGATGGTGGATCACAGAGGTCATTTATTAGATCTGATTTGGCTAAAGAACTAAATTTAAGGACTTTAAGGATAGAAAGGTTATATATTTATTCATTTGGGTACATCCAGGGTAGACTAATAGAATATAATGTTGTTCAAATTACCCTAAAAAGTATGCATTGCCCTAAAGACTCAATCACTATTGAAGCTCTTGTTACAAATACAATTTCTGAAGCGATCATAAAAATGTCCTCCAAAAACATTTTAGAAATATTAAAATCAGAAAATCTAAAAATAGCCGATAATATGAAGCAGCTGAAATAAAAGTATTGTTAGGATCTGATTCATGTTGGGAAGTGCAAACAGGCGAAAAGAAAAGAGTAACTAATAAATTATTTGCGGTGTCTTCTATATTTGGTTGGTCCTTAGTTGGATCTTTAGAAGGTGATCAGTCTAGTGCCTGTATTTTAACAACTGGTTCTCCTCATTGCTTTAAGGAAGATAATAATTCAGTTAATGACTGTTTGCGAAGGTTTTGGACTTTGTACCATTTGGGTTTAGAGGAGAATGAGAATCCTGACGATAAATCAGTCATTGAGAAATTTTAAAAAGAATTGCATTTTACTAATGGTAGATATGTAGCTCGTTTGTTATGGAAATCACATCATGCAAACTTGGGTAATAATTTAGAAAATTCCAAGCGAGGTCTAGTATCTTTGGTTAATAAACTAAAAGGTGATGAATGGCTTAGGGCGAATTATGATAGCATAATAAACGAACAGTTAAAAATGAAATAATTGAAGAGTGCGAAATTGAAAGTTGTGACGATATTAGTAAATGTATTACATGCCACATTCTCCAGTTGTAAGAAAAAAATGTATCAAAAACTAAAGTCCCTATCGTGTTTGACGCATCTTCGAAAGTGTAATGGGGTATCTCTGAACAATTGTTTTTGATGCCTGGCCCAAATTTGAATCCTTCTGTTTTGGACTTGATATTGCGGTTCAGACAATACAAGCATGCGTTCTCAGCAGACATTGAAAAGGCCTTTCTCCAGATTGGAATCTCTTAAATTGATAGAGATGTATTACGGTTTTTATACTTTGATAATAATTACAATTTGTAACATTATAGAATGACTCGCGTTCCTTTTGGGGTGTCATGTAGCCTTTCATTCTGGCGTGCACTATAGAAAACCATATAAAAAATAGAGTTAGAAAATCCAGATATTTTTGAGATGTTGAACTGTTCGAGCTACGTAGATGATGTCTATCTAGATTCTGTGGAACAGGCTTTCAAGTTAAGTACTGGACCCTATTGCGTGCTTAAAGATACCGGAATGAATTTGCGTCAGTTTAATACAAATTCCGAGAAACTAAAGAAACTTTGGGATGATTGTGGAATAATTAAATCAGAAAATGAACTAAATAGTTCTTTAAATGTATTAGGGCTTAACTGGTGTACGAGTAAAGATGTAATTTCCTTGAACATAGACAACTTGTGCGAAATATTAAATAGTTGTAGAAAAACCACAAAAAGAAATATATTAATGACTGCTACTATTTTCGATCCAGTAAGTTTCTTGGCGCCATCTGTATTACGTGCAAAATTGATAACGCAAAACCTTTGGCAGTTGGCAGTTGGGCCCACCAGCGGCCGAGCGGTAAAGTCGCTGAACACTGGTAGTTCGGTCCGAGGTTCGAATCCCGCGAACGGGCTGGCTGCATGGGCGTTTTCGTGGTTTTCCCCATGTGTAACGTGTATACGAGCCAGTTTCCCTTAGAAAGTCCTCCACGAAAGGCATCCCTCCCCTTAGGCAGATAGCCCTCGTGTGCTTTGCCATAATTAAATACACACACACACACCTTTGGCAGTTGGGTTCAGAATTTGACGATGAAGTTCCAACTGAATTTAAGCAGTTGTGGTCCGAGTGCTGCGGTGAAATTGAAAAGTTAAAGAAATTTGAAATTTCTCGAGAATTTTTCCCCGGCAAATTGAATCAAAATAAGGATATCGAACTTCATTTATTTTGTAATGCATCTATTAAATCGTATGGTTCAGTTGCATATTTTAGGTCAGTTGAAGAATTTTGAAGCAGGACAGGTAGCATTCATTATGGCATCCAAGGTTAGAGTTGTTAGGAGCATTAACATCAGCAAGACTTGCTAAAAATTTAAAAGAGCTGTTTTCAGTTCATGACGAAAATATTTATCTGTGGACTGACAGTATGATAGTGGTTCACTGGATTCATAGTGCACCTGAACGATGGGAAATGTTTGTAAAAAATCGAATATCTGAAATACAATTATTAACTTGCCCAAATAACTGGAGACATTGTAATGGGAAGTCCAATCCAGCGGACATTTTATCTCGAGGATGTTCAGCCGAATATTTGTTTTCTTCAAGATTATGGCAGTCTGGGCCAGACTGGTTAGTTGAAACAGTAAGTGCTTGTGGCCTAATAAATTTATCGTGACAACGGAGTTTTCTGATGCTGAATTAGAGCGGAAAAGATGCATAAATAATACCACAATACTGCCGTCTATTGCAGAAGAATCTAATTCGCTGTTGAATCTTGAAAATTATAGTAAATTAATTAGAGCTATTAGAGTGACTGCATGGATATTTAGATTTATTCACAATCTGAAAAATAAAACTGACAAGAAACCCGGACCCTTGATAGCAGAAGAACTTTTTGCCGCAGAATTATATTTGATAAAAGAAGTTCAATATGAACATTTTTCTGATGAAATAATTAGTTTACATTCTGAACAGTTGATTTCAAAAAATTCAAACATTTATGAACTAAATCCTTTTCTAAATGAGGAAAGAGTTTTGTTAGTAGGAGGAAGACTACAAAAATCAACATTAAGTTTTCATGAAAAGCATCCTATAATTATTCCTTCAAAAACTCATTTTACAGATCTTCTGGTACGTGATGCACATGAACGAGTTCTTCGTACAGGTGTAGCTAGTACTCTCATGTTCCTCAGTGAAAAGTACTTGGATAATTAGAATCCAGACAAAATGTGAAACGTGTTATAAGAAACTGTGTGTACTGTGTCAGCGTTATAACTCCCGACCGATGCGACAAGTCATAGCACCATTACCACCATCTAGAATTGAAAAAGCAAATCCTGTTATAGGACTAGATTATGCAGGTCCACCTTTTCGTGAAAATGAAGATACGAAGTATTATATCCTATTATTTACCTGCGCAGTAACTAGAGGCATTCATCTTGAACTAACAAAAGATCTCACAACTAAATCTTTCCTACTTGCTTTTCGTCGATTCATATCAAGAAGAGGGTTGTGCTCTCTAATATACTCAGATAACGCGCGTACATTCAAGGCAGCTGATGCAGAGCTCAGAAAGATGTGGCAGGTATTAAGCCATCCCGATGTAAAGAATTATTATGCAGCAAAGGGCATTCAATGGAGGTATATCATTGAAAAAGAAGCCTGGTGGGGCGGATTTTACGAGAGAGTTGTGAGATCCGTCAAAACAATATTAAGAAGATTCATCACTGCTACCTGAAGAATTGGAAACTGTACTGACTGAAATTGAGGCGGTGATAAATCGTCGACCCTTGACTTACGTCCAAGATAATGAGCCCCAAGTTCTGTCACCTGCTCATTTTCTGCTAGGGCAGAAACTTGCTAATTTGCCTCCTGTCATTTGACAGGAACATTTGACACTCATGAAGTGTGCAGTACTAAAGAAATTCTGTTAAAAGCGCATCTATATCGTGAAAAATTGTTAAATAACTTTTGGAAAATCTTTTATAAATATTATTTGTTGAATCTGAAATCTGCAAATTGTGTGAACAATCACCGTGCAAAACACGACTTAAGTGTGAACGATATCGTGATTTTACAGGATGAACATTTACCACGTAACATGTGGAGATTAGGAAAGGTTCTCAAAATATTTACCGGTAGAGATGGACTAATTCGCAGTTGTGAAATAAAGATTGAAAAAGGCATTATAAAGAGACCTTTACAATTATTAGTTAAGTTAGAATGCTAAGAGTATTAATATTGTATAATAGTATATTTCTTACTGAAAATGTAATCGTAATGCTACTAATGTTGTATCTATTTTATTTAATTGCTATTTAAAGTACTGTATATTTAATATTTAAAGAAATGTATAAATTAGAAAATTTTAAGGTTGTCGAAATGTAAAAATGTATTTAAAATTTTAATTTAATTTGAAAAAAAAGACAGGTTTCTTGTAATAATTCTAGTATTTTAGTTGAATTATGATAATCTTGATTTTGAAATCATTTGTTTAATATTATCTTGAGTTATATAAATTCTTGATTTAAATCCTGATGCTTGAACAGGAATGTTATGGTAATAATTCTTGATGAAATTTATTTGAAAATTTACTTGATATTCTTGAAACATATGGTAAGTTTTACATGTTCTTAATATTTATGTGACATTTCTTTATTACAAAACTTGAATTTGTATTGAAATGCATAATGATTCTTGAAAATAATTCTTTAAAATGTTCATGTAACACTGATAATCTTGATTGTTCTGAACTACAGTTCAGCTGGGCCCAGTGTGTAAGAAATTTTACGTGTAAATATATTTTAATCGCCAAAGAGGGCGCAAATCTTTCATGATGTACTATATATACTTCTTGTTCTTGGATCTGGCACCGCCAGTTGAACGTGTGTTAGACGTGAATAAACTTGGCAGTTTAGAAATCTGACATTTATGTTATGTGTAATTTGAATTAGTGTTTTTTGAACCAGGATATCTTGAAATTCTTGACAGTTAATATAATATTTTATAGTCGTTGTTACTATCCTTTCTATGAATTTCATAGAAGAATAGTTGCCAGAGCCTCAAGAAGGTTGGACTTCTACTCCCCCCCAATTTTGAGAGAGGGACCCCCGGACTGTGGGTCTCCACATCTCTTCGATGCGACCAACCACACAAGAGGAATTTCGGCTCACCTAGAGTGCCCCCATGTCTCAAAGACTCTATACATTTATAAACATCCATGCCTTCCCCGGGATTTGTAACCGAGCACTACGGTACCTAATAGGCTTCCCAAACACTCCATGGACTGAGGGTCTCCCATACCTCTCCTCTACCACCAAATCACACAAGAGGACTTTCGGCTCGCCTAGACTGCCCCTATGTCGCAAAGACACTATACATAAATAAACATCTATGCCTTCTCTAGGATTTGTACCCGAGGTCTTCAGTACCGCAGTAGGCTCCCCTAACTACTATACCGTCTGGGCGGCAGCTGAAAGTGTTTGGAATTCATAAGATTCATTTTACATTAATTTCAACTTTTCACTCTGATTTGATTAGATTCCCGTAAATAGATATTTATAACTTTAATTTTGAAATTTTCCATTCATGTTTAGGTCTCACTAAGTTGTTTGAAATACAGCCAGTGAAATCACAAAGTTAATTAGTCGTGTGGGAGGTGAATACAATTAAAACTGTCAATGAATGTTATGGCATCAGAAAAGTCATAGGCCAGAGCGCTTTTTAAACAAAATAATGCAGCGAACTGTAAATAACTAAATAATAAATACGTAAAGCTATTCATACAGTATCTGGTAATATGCGGAAAATGCATATATATTTAATACGAAAGAAGAATATAATGAAAAGAACTTATATTTAAATTTAACCCACGGATTATAAGAGAAGATTGCGAAACATATATATGGTTTCGGATTACAAGTAAAATGGATAGAGAAAGAATGGACCACCTAAAAGCAGGGAATCTTTGTTAAAGTTACACAGCTAAGAGGATTATTATTTCCTCTATTTTGTGGTAATCGGGAAAAACGTAAATATCTCCCTATCTTTGTCTTGATCTGAAAGGCACTAGGCAGGGAAACATATTTTTTAAGGTGGCAGTTAAGCTACTTGCGACACTACGTCGGAAATGAATATTCCATGGTTGGAACGATGATTATAACAGACTTCATGGAGTTGCGAAAAGGGAGATAATGTTCTTTTAAAAGCTGTGCCTTTTTATAACTATTCTACAATATGTACTGGGAAGTTTATGAAGTTGTTGAAAATTGAAGAAAACAGACTTGCAGTGGGCACGATTTATCATACTTTTGAAGATTTAGATCCTGATTTTTTTCCCTTGCCATCTAATTGGTTTCACTCTATATGTATACAGACGGTCAAAATTCCTTTTTCAATTAATTTCTGTTGCCTTCCGATTAGTTTCACCAAGTATTCACTACCACAATGTCACCAGTTCCATCATTACTGATATTTCAGTGACAGTTGACAAAGTTCCATCGTTGAATCTTCTAAACTGGGCAGCTTTTATAATAAGAATAAAGAATACCTTTTTCCGTCTCGTGACATTCGAAAGCTTTCTAAGCAATGAAATGCTTAAAGTTATAATCTTTAGCTACAACACTGCTCAGATTAGTATAGATTTCATCCTAATATTTGTTGCAGAAATTCTGTCCAAAGAGTAATCTTCTGAAAAAATAAAAATCTGAAAGCTTTCAGATTTTATATTACATACAAAGAGCGTTTTGTTTTTATTTTCATACACATACACGTAGCCGCGTAACCGGTATAGTGGTTAGCATCGCTGACTGCTGAGCCGAAGGGCCGGGGTTTGAATCCCAGAGAAGGCACAGGTTTGTAAATGTATGGTATCCGTACTTCATGGGGGCACTCTAAATATGCGGCGACCTGAAAGTCCTCTTGAGAGGTTGTTGGTAGGCTAACGACAGGCGTAAACTTTTGCTCCTCGCTACGAGAAATTTCGCGAGCGTGGACTGACTATAGGCCAGACAAATGAGCATTAGCAAGAACAACAACAGCACATACATGTTTCGAGAGTATTTTGTGCTAATACCCATTTGGGCTAAAAATACTTGAAAACAGCGCATTTTTAGAATTTCCGATAGACAATCTCCCGCGGAGATAAAAATATTTTATTTCATAAAGTGTTGTCACTGCTTGCTTTGAAATCGTTAAGTTTTTTATCTAAAATTCGTTAAAGTTTATAAAATACGAAATAGATAATACAACAACCTCGAAATTCAAAATTCGGGCTTCCAGGTGCCAATATTCCGGTGGAGGACTATGTTATTCAAAATTTGATAGCTCCAGGTACCGTCGTTGTTTTCACAGTGCGAGGAACTAGATTCTTCATTATTTAATTTATGTAATATAATGCAGGTCGATAATATTTTGTGGCCATAATTTGAAAAGTGATTCAAAGCTTTTAGTGATCCGACGCAAAGTGTCATTTCAAGACTAATAGCTCTTCTGGGCTAACACCCCTCTGGGCTAAAAAAAGTAAATGAGATGGAATTTATGAGAAATAAAAATAAAACTGTTTTGCTAGATGTGCTCATCTTTAAAAACTCAGAATACAAAACTGTTTTGAGAGCTACCGGGCGCGCAATAGATTTTTTAACATTGTTAGGTCTCATCTAGTTGGAAACGTAGGAAACAATTGTGTTCTCCCATGGCAGGGGTCTCCAAACTATGGTCATAGTTACAAAAAGAGAAATACAGTAACACTCCATTAAAAAAAATGCCATTGTATTTTTTGCAAGAATAGCGGTTTCATGTGTGATCTTTATCTACTTCCATATTTGTATTCTAGGTTTGTTCATAGAAATTTTCAGTAGCAATTTCGTTTACATCTTGATACATATTCTGTATATGTTGTAAGTTATTTTAATTTTGGAAATTTGTTTTCACAGAAAGCTTTCCCAAAATATAGTGTGAATATGAAATATATATAAATAAAATATGAAATACCTATGATCAAAATATAAATAAAATGCCCTGATAAATTATTATGACGGGGAGATAAATCCATTTAAATGCAAACTTGCATTGCAAATCGAAAAAAAACTCTGATATTCTGGGATAAGAATATTCTTGCAAACGTTTAAACAGTTTTAAGAAATTTATGTTAGAAGAAACTGTATGAAAATTAAAAAACAAAAACAAGTCTCTTCGTGTTATCAATCATAGCGATAGAGATCCAATCTCAAAAACCTTGCTGCCTTGTTTAAAAACATGCATATGCTGTTCATCATGATTACATCACACCATGGTATGATGAACTTCGAAGGTCCGTGAAAGTCCTTGGTCTTCGAAGCTCCGTGAAAGAACCAGTACGGCCCCCGGGCTATAAGGTTTGGAGGCCACTATCCTAAGTCAACCGCAGATCCCCCAATGTTGCCAATCAACAGACTTGCTAATCACTTACGACAGCATGTGCCTGAAACTGAGACGTTTATGCCATGTATTTCAATTAAGAGGTAAATAGTAGAGACAAAACACTTAGTAAAAAAAATCGGATAGTGACGAGTTATGGTCCATCTCATTTTATCCAGGAGCCATTGCCTAGATAATTTGGTTTTTTGGTATAGGAAACATGAAAAATCAATCATACTTTCGTCGGATGTCCAGCAGTGGATCTTCCAGTCCTAGCCCATACCGATACTTCCAATAGTAGTGATTCCCGAGAGGGAAATCAACCCCTTGATGAGAATTTTA